GTAAACACAGCCGTTTTATTTGCTCATGTGAGATGATCTGCAAATCGGGCGTTACTTTTGGTGGCTACTGTACATCAATTTATACAAAACAACCTAGACAACACAACAACACAAGTTTGGTGCCTGCTAATAAACAATTCCACATTCAATTAAATCGATTACCAAAGACGGTATATAGAGTAATACACAGCACAAGCTATATCTAAAGTTAGGGGATGGCTAAAGTCATATCCGGTTAGGGGTTACTTTTTTGATGCATTTAGTGTGAGTGATTTATAAAATACGATTTACTGTATGCAATTTGTAGACCAGATAATACCGGATAAATACAAGCTAAGGCTTGTAAATCTTTATAGAATCATTTACACATGACATTGTGCGTATAAACATGCCGTCCAATGATACGCAATATTTGCGCAGTCACTTTCCTGTAAACCATACTCTTCGTTTCACTCCTACACTTTGTTTTACTACGTTCCTGGTATAATGCAAAAAGATCAATACCATCACTATATTCCAAGATTTATTCTTCGAAATTTCGCCATTAATAATCATGAAAGAATATTTGTGAGCAATATAACACTAAACCAAAAACAAAAACAAACCTTGAAGAAAAAGAATAAGAAAGAAGCACTTCTTCAAGTTTATTATAGAATTAACGATCAATTTGGAATCTCTTCAGTTTCAAAAACTTATGGAATCAAGAACATGTATAAAGATTTTAATTATAAAGATGATGTGATGCGGGTAGAAAATAAACTTTCTGTGCTAGAAATGCAAGCATCAGATATAATTCATAATATTGTTAATACATCTCAAAAAGAAAGTCAGGTAGTTTTGTCTAGCACAAATCTTGATAACCTACGTAAATTTCTTTTTATCATGAACTATCGAAACCCTCATCGATGGTCTCAATTTATCAATGAAGATTTTGATCTCCGCACATGGCCATTAATAATAAAATTTATGCAAGATTACAAAATAAAACATACCCGAGAAGTTTGGTTACAAAATATCCATGAAATACTAGGCACTACAAATAAAGATATAAAGAACAATTTACGAATATTTGGGCCTGATAGGATTGATTACTTAGATTACATGATGG